AAGACGCTCCGGACTATAAGACGCACCTACCTTTTTTGGTGAGAAAAAACAAGAAAAAGAAAATCTGCCTCTGCCTCCCACCAATTTTGCCTCGTTGCAGCAAACAGCCTGCTTTGCTTTCATTTTCGTTTTCAGCATAGCTTGATTAGCACAAGAAAAAAAAAATCTGCTTCCAGCAATTTACCTCCTTGCAGCAAGCAGCAGAGGCCCCCGCAAAACAGCTGAGAGCAAAACAGCTGAGAGCAAAACAGCTGAGAGCAAAACAGCTGAGAGTCGGGAGGCTGATCCAATCAACTTGTGCTAATTAGGCTGTGCTGAAGCTGAAACGAGCTGTTTCTTCTTGCTGCTTGCTGCAAGGCGGTAAACTGCTGGGAGGCAGAGGCCAAAGGGTGGGGGCCAGTGGATGGGCGGGGCTACATTCGGTGTATAAGACGCACCTAAATTTTCACCTCCTTTTAGGGAGGAGAAAGGTGCGTTTTATACTTCAAAAAATACAGTAGTTATCCTCTTTGCTTGAGTTTCTAATAACTAGTAACTAGGACAGTGTTGGTGAAACTTTTCAGCACCGAGTGCCGAAATTGGAACACAGGCTCAGGGGAGCACCGGAAACCGGAAGAGGAGCTCCCTGGCATGCACGCACATGAAAGCTGGTCACCTGGTCTTCTGGTTTCTGGCACGCATGCGTGCATGAAGACCAGCTGGCCGGTGCACATGCGTGTGCCAGAAACTGGAAAAGCAACAGGCGACAGTGGCATGCCCAGAGAGATGCCACTTTACATGCCACTTCTGGCATGCGTGCCATAGGTTTGCCATCACTGATCTAGGAACTCCATGAGCCGTGTTGGCACAGTGGTGAGAGTGCAGTACTGCAGGCTACTTCTGCTGTCTGCCGGTTGCCTGCAGTTCGGCAGTTCAAATCTCACTGGCTCAAGGTTGACTCAGCCTTCCATCCTTCCAAGGTGGGTAAAATGAGGAGCCAGATTGTTGGGGGCAAGAGGCTGACTCTGTAAACCTCTTAGAGTGGGCTGTAGAGCACTGTGAAGCAATATATAAGTCTAAGTGCTCTTGCTATATTCCTTCCTTCCTTCCTTCCTTCCTTCCTTCCTTCCTTCCTTCCTTCGTCTTTGCAGTGATGTTCTGACCTAGGCTTCCTGATACAGTAAAAACACACAATGAGTCCCAAAAACCGTCTTTTTATTTCAACGGCTGTGAAGTCTGTTCATTCAGAGCCTGTTCATTCTCAATCTGTTCATTCACAGAGGAGTCCCAAATAGTTTGTAAAGAGTCCGACAGAAGTCTGCCACAGTCCTTGGGATAAGGCTGATAAACACCCACCTTTATCTCCCTTGACACGCTGCCAAAGACCTAATTGGCAATTAGCTTTGCAAGGCCACACGGAGCACAGACTCAACACGGAGCTGCAATCTTGAAACCAGCCAGCACGAACAACAGTTGCTTCCCGCAAAGGCTCACGTGCCTTTGCTCCCTCCTTTATGTCTTATGGGAGGGGCCAATCATCTCCAAGCCCTACTCCCGAGTCGACCCTTTTGTTTTAACTGTTCTTGCCTTCTGGCAGCTCTGCTCATGCGTGCACTGGGAACAGGCTCCCCCTGTTCCTCTGCCTCGCTGATGTCCAACTCTGGAGACTCCGGAGGCAGCACATACCTCCCAGATGGCCCTTTCTCTTCCTCTGACGCAGAGCCCTCGTCCGAGCCTTCCCCAGACTCCAGAACTGGCCCATGTTCCTCCCCAGCCTCCTCACTGTCCAACTCTGCTGCCAGCTCCACAGGCCGCTGGCAGACCACAACAATTGATAGGTCGATGGACAACGTGCCATCAAGTTGGTGTCAACTCTTATAGAGTCCATAGATAGATTTTTTTCCCCAGATCCTTTAATTCTTCCAACAGTGTCTCCATCATCACTGTAACTGAATCCCTCCACCTTGCTGCTTGGCCATCCTCATCTTCTTCCTTCCTTCCACCTTTCCCAAGATGATGAGCTTCTCTGGGTATTCTGTGGCTTTCCTGGATAGAAAAGTATTATGTACCACCCAGTCGTTTCTTAGCAAGCACCATCTCTGGACCTTCTCCAGGAGGATCTGTCCCCGCTTTGGTCCTTCTGTTCTTCCAATGGTGCCCCTCTCACCACCATAACTTGAGTTCTCTCGACCATGCTGGTGGTCACTTTCTCCTTCCTTCTGCCTTTCTTATGATTTAACTTCTCTGGGTATTTTATGGCTTTCCTAGGCAGAAATGTATCATGTACTACCAACTCATGCTTAGCAAGCCCATTGTGGACCTTCTCCAGGAAGATCTGTCCTTCCTTCCTTCCTTCCTTCCTTCCTTCCTTCCTTCCACCCTTCCCAGAATTGCATCCTTCTGTAGAGAGCTACGTCTTTGCATTTGATCAATGGATGATGTGCCATCAAGTTGGTGTCAACTCTTAAGAGTCTACATAGATTGATTTTCTCCAGGAGGATCTGTCCCCAACCAGATTCTTTGGTGCCTCCATCATTGTAGCCAAGACCATTCCCCTTGCTGTTGGTCCTCCTCTGCTTTCCTTCCAAAGTCACAGGTGTCCTGCATGCCTGCAGAGCATCGTGGAATTGGGGCGATATGTGTCATAATGACAACATGTTGTGTGCATGTGACATACTGTCCTTCCTTACCTGCCCCTGTAGAAACATACGGCCATAGCATCGATCACTGGAAGTTTTTGCAAACAGCCATTTGTCCGGAATGTATAGAGTGGTCCTAGGGCAGTGGTTCTCAACCTTCCTAATGCCGTGACCCTTTAATACAGTTCCCCATGTTGTGGTGACCCCCAACCATAAAATTATTCCTAAGACCATTGAAAATATGTGTTTTCCTATGGTCTTAGGCGACCCCTGTGAAAGGGTCATTCGACCCCCAAAGGGGTCCCAACCCACAGGTTGAAAACCACTGTCCTAGGGGATTGGATTAGAAGACCTCCAAGGTCCCATCTGGCTCTCTGCTTCTAAGTTCTAGCAAAGCAAGGTTCTCCCTTGGGGGAGAGCTGGCCAACCCAAAAGGAAGCTCTTCA